CCCACTAAATGTGAAGACCCGGGTTGTGACAACCCGGTCACAATATTGGGAAGCTGCTGTCAAACATGTAGCGACAGTAAGTAATAATGTACTATAATGTGCTATATAGGTACTTATAATTATATATTAATGTTCATGGTGCTACGCAGATACTTAGTTACTGTAATTACCTTTGCGATTAATTCCAGGTTCTCTCTGTGCTACGACAGCTCCAATATATGTGAAGTCTCACCACAAAATGAGACACATCGTTGGTGAAATCATATTGAGATATTCACCAAAACAGGCCAAAGCCAATATTTTTACAAAATTTTAATTTTAATGTTTTTGAATAACTTGATACTTATATTTTATGATTGTATACAGAGATCACTATTTTCTTGCAAAAACAGTGTTCTCTGCACTTATTCTGTAATTCTGGTCATATTATTTGTACAGGTTAGTTTATCTTTGAGGTCGATTTTCTCAAAACGTGGTTCTTATACACCTAAACTTTAAATGCTCACATCTCAGGATTTACTTATAGTAGGGAAGCCATTCAAAAACCAAATGAAATCTTATAATGTGATCTACCGAAATATGATATGAATTCAATTTTTGAATTTCTAACCATGAGACTCATTTTGTGGCGAGACCTCACATATGTGATTGCATAATATATCGGTTGAGTAAAGAGGTGATTTGGTTGGATTAAGTCTGTGATGCATCTAAAGGCTCCTGTGGTCTAGCCTTCACAACGGGAGGTTGCACATTAAATTTCTGTCTGAAGAACGTTTTCATACAACTACTTGGGAACTTTTTGTTGAATGGCTATGCTCAAGCCAAAACCTACACAATATGCTACTCATGATACTACTTCTTAAAAACCTTGAAAATTCTTTGCCTTTTCCCTTTTTTAGAATGTGTTTACAATGGTAGAATTTATGAAGATGGTCAGACATGGGTGTCCTCTAATCAGTGTCAGGATTGTACATGTCAAGGGTCAGAGGTTGTCTGTGTAGAAGCACAGTCCTGTCAACAAACTTGCGAGAATGGATACATTAGACCAGGCCAATGTTGTTCTGATTGTTTTGGTAACAAATAACAAAAGCATCACAAATAGTTAAAGTGGGGAGAGTATAAAGATAGGAAGGGAAAGAAAAGAAACTTAGGGAAGTTGGAAAGAAATGATTTGTTATAGTGGGGAGATATAGACCATTTTATTGGGTTTATTTTGAAACAATGCAGCCAACGTCTCGCAACTCACTAGGGGACTTCCAGCGGCCTAGCTTGAGCAGCTAGCTAGTGTCAGATGGAGCGCTGTGCGCACACTGGAAACTACGTATCGTGAGGTGCGTAGGCCTCTGGAAGTCCCCCAATGGTAGTTGCCGGAAATTTTCATTTCAAATTTCGTAAAAATCGCCTATACATACGTAATAGAAAATGAGTATAAAAAGAATTGAGTAGTGGCAAACGAGGTGGATACAAAAAGAAGTAGGGAGAAGGAGAGTTGGGTAACGAGAAGAGTGGAAAGAGGAAGCATTAAAATAGGAAATAGAAAAAGAAGCAAGAAAAATAGGGAGACAAAACGAGAGGAGTGAGAAATAGGAAGTGTGAATGTGGTAGGAAGAGGTGAATAGAAAAAAAAGTTGGGGGAATAAAGAGAAGGATGTTAAAAGTGGGAAGGGCAAGGATAAAAAGTGATAAGTGGGGAATAGGGAGGAAGAATCAGTGGGAAGAGAGAAATAGAGAGAGGAATCAGACAAGGTTTGGAAGGTTTGTAGATTTATTTTATTTATTAAAATAATTGCTCTTTTTGAATTTGTGCCTTTTACACACAATTTGTAGTAATTGGTTTTTTCTATATATTATTTCAGATTGTTTGTACGAAGACCAACACATAACGAATAGTAATTATTTTACTCCTCAATCTGACCCCTGCCAACAGTGTCTTTGTAGTTATGGTGTGGTTAGGTGTCAGAGAAAGATATGTCCAGAACTCACATGTCGTTTCCCAGAATTTTCTCCTGGA